TATTAAATGTATATTATTTTTATTTTTTTTTTTTTAAGTAAAGCTTTGTTCCTAACAACAACCAAATAAATCCAAATTTCCGACTTTGTGCAAAAACAATGAAAATTAATTCTGCAAAGTTTGACTTATATTTCAAACTTTTTAATCGGAATCTTTAGAAGAAAATTTGGTTGAAGTTTTGTAGTTCATTAAAATTGCTTATACTAAAGTTAGAGGGCAACGTGCCGCGCATTTGCTTCCCTATCAAAAAATCAACAGAAAGTCCTATCTACTTCAAACTTTTACTTTATTATACGAAAATTTAACGAATTTTTTTTAACAAATTTTGTGGAGTAAAAATATCGAAAATATGTGTGATGTTACTACAGGGATGCTGTTTTAAGCTTAATACATCTAGGATCATTTAAGAAGGTTTTACGATCTGTTAGCCTTTGTGGAAAAATTTAGCAAAATAATTTTTGTCCCGTATTCGGCTCCCATAAATAAAGCCACCGTAACTATAAGCCGATTGCTTCTGTCATCTTTGTAGTAGTGACTTGGTAGCTCTCTTTCAAAAGAATTTATTGAAGGTCATTTACTCATGAGGCCATCCAAAATTAATTTATTTGATTGTGAAGCCATTATCAGCTAACACGTATCTTTCTCATCATAAGAATTGTAAGGCCTTAAAAATGTCAAGGTGTAACGAACTTTTTCGCTTTTACACTGTTTTATGTACATACTTCTTCAATGGTACAAATTAGAGCTTATTCTAAACCACCAAATTCGAAAATAAACTAAACAAAAATCACGGTGTTAAAATTGAAAAAAAAAACAAAAACAATTCAGGCCCTTATACTTGCACTATGCTTGCGCTGCTGTGATTCAATCTAAACTTGCTTCCTTGACAAATGCGCCCACTTGGAACTCCATTCACATTTATGGGAAACCAAAAATGGCATAAAAATTAAGCGCAAATGATGGCACCACGAGCCATGCGATTTTTATTACTTGCAACATAATTTTCCTCTTAACCTTTTCTCCGCCCGCAGTGCATGCAACTTTTAGTGGCAACCAAATAGCAACGCGATAAAGTGAGTGCTTCAATTGGCATTGTCATTATTGGTAAGGAAAATTGCTGAAATAAATTTTACCTTGTCGTTGAATGTGGAATCAGTGCTGCGCCGGCGGCAGGTCCTATTGGCAACTCCGCTTGTTGTGATCCGTGTGCAGCGGCTGCTGCTGCTGCTGATGGAGCGCCTGTTACAGTAATGTACTTTTGCTGTTGCTGCTGTGGAAGTGTCTCCACTGGCGAAACATCTGGTGTTGCTAGTGTGTATTGTTGTTGTTGTTGCTGCTGGTGCTGCTGCTGCTGCTGCTGCTGTGCCAGATTGACTGGCTGCATCTGCAACGGTGGCGACAGATCGTCAACCAACACCACAGTGGGATTGTCATAGCCATAATTAAGTGCGTTCGCATCGTTATTGTTGTTGTTGTTGGCATTGGCGTCGTTGGCATCGCCGCTCACTGGCGTGTAAATAATCGGTATAAAGTGTCCGGGCAGCGTATTTGATGGTGTAAATGGTGTTAAATTGACTTTTGTTTGTTTCGGACGAGTTTGCTGGCGAAACAGCAGTGCTGGCGCGTGTTGCTGTTGTTGCTGCTGCTGCTGCTGTTGTTGTTGTTGTTGTTGTTGTAGCTCGTGTTGTGATGTAAATAACAACTGTTGTTGCTGTTGCACACCATGGTTCCGAATCGTCTTCTGTCGTTGTGGCTGCTGATGATGCTCATACGGCAGCTGTTGCAACGCTGGCGGCTTTGTGGGCGGAAAATGTTGAACCGTTTTGTGCTGTGAATTATTTATAATGTGATTAATTAAATTTTCCCGTTAGTTGAACAATGTTAATGCCTTGAGCTTTATCGGCTTATTCTTTCGCACTTACTTTATGCTTTATGATCGGCGCCACCGTTGGTCCAGCAGGCGGGCCGGGTGGCAGTAAATGCAACACAGGCAGTTTGCTGCTCTGAGTATTTATTGCTGACTGGGAGAGTGGTGGTGGCGTTTGACGCGGAATAGCTGTTGGCGATGGACCAGCTGCATATGCCATTTGATGATAAACATCGCCTGCATTTGAAAGAAAATGCTGCTGCTGTGCCGCTGGTGCATAGGTCAACTCACCACCAGCGAGACTGCCTGGCGGTGGCACTCGTAAATGCATGTACTCCTGCGGTATGGGTATATGACCACTGGCCGGTATTAAATGGCCTTCAATAGCTATTGGTTTGGCATATTTGCCGCCGTTCGGAAGAGCACCTTTGGGCTGTTGGAAGTTGGAGAAATATATAATTCGTTTATGAAAAGTTATGTTTTTCTAAAAAATAAAATAAATATGTGTATAATCAACGAATTATTTCCACAATAGGTCTAGAGTTACTGCAGGAATTGTTAGTACGCTAAAAACTTTACCAAATACATACATATGCAAATACGTACATACAGTGACTCAAATAAGTGACCACTTGTTGATTTTTTTTTTAATATTCAAAATGATTTTCAAGATAAATTTTAAAGTTTCAAACTTTAAAAAAAAATTTAGGAAAATTCAACAAATTTTCATCAAAATTTCGAACTTTTTAATCTCAATCTAAGACCATTTTTCGGTATACAGTTTTATAGCCCATACGTTTGAAGTCACGGTAGATGTATAGCTCACAATAGTGTTCAAATTGCATTTTTCGGTTAGGGAAGGGAAATATTTTTTTAACAAGTAGAAACATTGAAGCAAAAGTTGTAAAATAAATGTAATATCTTTCGTTTTTATTAAATACATTGATTTATTTGAATGGAATTATGAAATTTTAGTGTAATTTAGTGAAGAAATTTCAGAGATCTAATTATTCGAGTGTAAATCATGACGTATTCTGTGCGGAACATAGCGCCATCCTTCTGGAACCACATGGCATCCATGGCATATCGTTCAATTTGAATGAAAGTATATCGATTAACATCATTCTGTAGAACTCGACGTTTACGGTAATAACCTTTTCAACGGCGTTTTCCAAAACGGGTACGGCGCAATGACGAAATTCGTATCGTCGCTAAATATGATTATTCGGGCGAAATTTTCGTCCTCTTCCCAACGCCGTTGTGTATGCCCAAGTGCATTTGTGAAATTTACGAATTTTTTTAAGTCGCGGGTTCTCCTACACGCTTTTACAGACAGTGGCGATAGTCTCTACCGATCCTGGCATTCCTTTGACGTATGGGAGCTCGGTGATTGTTTACAGAACTCGTTGCCTACAAGTTGCTTAAACCGAATTACGCGTTTATGAGTTGTGTGCTAAATAAATTCTATATCACAAAATCTAATTTGGCTTAAAATTAACCAACTGAGTATGAAACAATGTCTAAAAATTAGGGTCCAAATCATGGATCCGTGATCCGAAACTCGATTGGAAAATTCATTTTGAGATTACGGCACTCAAAAATGAACCCGATTTTGCAATATACATAAATTGTAATTTTATTTGATTCGATTCGAGAGGAGTAACTATTCGATAACATATGCCGTGGTTCGGGGCGAGGTCTGATGGGGAAGTAATTTGTGAAAAGTTCAAAATTAAAAAAGAACCAGTCAAGTCTTAATTCAAGGATTTAAGTCCTTAACATTTGGCGTTGCAACTTTGAGATTTGAGCTGTAAGTCTTCTTTATTTAGCCTTTCACTTACACCTTGCACTGCATATTGCTGATTGATTGGAAAATCCGGTGGCAAATAGAAAGCCATATACGGTATTAAACGACGATTGCGTTCGGAGGCGCTAAGCACAGAGTCGCCAATAATTGTGGAATTAGTCGCGGAATGTAAAACTGTATCCTGAAGTTGAGACTGAGTGTTGTTACGTGGCTTCGGATCTGGAGCGACTTGTATGCATTGGCCATGCTTGACGAGTAGAGCTGGAAAAGACGAAAAAAAAAAACTTGATTATACATATAAACATACATAGATGCTTGTTTGCTTGAGAAATTCTAGATGAAATAAATAAATATTGCTTGCTCAACCTACTCGTCCCAATTTGTGTGTATCTTGGCGTTGTCATACAAATAAAATGACCTGCCGGTATGTATGTATGTACTTGGGGGTTCTAGTATGATTGATTATGGCATCTTAATGTAACTTAGAGGCTGTCACTTAAAAACTCTCTTAAATGGATGTTGCTTATATTTGGACAGCCGAAACTTAACGTAACTTAATGCCACGTCGAAGTCTGTTTCATTTTGATTTTCTTAGTTCTAAGTTACGTTAAGTTAAGTTGATGGTGTTAATGGTTTTTTCCAACCGGTGGTCCGGAGCCCCTCCCCCTTACTTTCAAGTTTTCCCGTTATATACAAAAAATAGTACACTAAATGCATAATGGTTTCTAGCCTCCAACTCCCTCTAAATTTGAATCTGATCGTTTATGTAATTTCATTTTATTGTTTTATTTTTATGGCAACTTTAAAATTTTTACCGCTTTTTCAAGCTATGTAATCTTTACTCTAAAAAGTTCGGGTTCGGTTCGGTTTCGGTCGAACTGCAAGAAAAAAGACCAGTGTTCGGTTCGGGTTCGGATTCGACCGAAAATTCGAGCTCGGTCGGACACTAATATTCACTAACTCCCTACTTAGTCAAATGCAAATCTGTGAAAATTCGTAATTTTTTCATTGGATTTCCGGTTCATTGCTATGAAGAAACCATTGAAGTATGGAAACAATGAAATTTGAAATAAAAAAAGGAATGAATTGATAAAACTGACTAGAACTCTTTTCTCAACAGCTTCTTTTCCAAAATTGTCAAAATTTCTTTGAAAGGAGATTAAATTTTATATATATTTATTTTTTTTTATGAAAATTCTTTGAAATAAATAAAAGTTTGCATAAACATTATTTTGGTAGACTCTTTCGAGTGCAAATTCAAATCATCAGAGTACCATCTTCAGATGCAATTAGACAAAATTTCAACATTATAAAAATCCAGCAATTATGTCAAAATTTTCGACAACCTCCAATCGCCAACTGAACACGCGCAGCTCCGACATCGATGCCCTGGCACAGCGTGGCTACAATATCGGACACAAAATTGGTGAGGGTTCTTATGCGACCGTTATCACAGCCGGCTATGCAGATGACGCCGGCCACGGTGTACATTTGGCCTGCAAGATAATTGACAAAGCTAAGGCACCCTCAGATTTCGTACACAAATTCTTTCCACGCGAATTGGAAATTCTAACAAAAATTGATCACCCGAATATCATACAGATACACAGCATATTGCAGCGTGGCCCGAAAATCTTCATATTCATGCGGTATGCAGAGAATGGTGATCTATTAAGTCATATCAAAAAATCGGGACCGGTTGAGGAGCTGCAAGCGAAAGCCTGGTTCATGCAGATGGCCAAAGCTCTAAAGTATCTGCATTCACACGATATTGCCCATCGCGATCTCAAGTGCGAGAATATATTGCTTTCGAAGCGTCTCAATATCAAATTGGCGGATTTCGGATTTGCGCGCTACTGTTGCGACGAAAGCGGACGTGAAATAAAATCGGAAACCTATTGTGGATCGGCCGCCTATGCTGCACCCGAAGTGGTATGCGGCCGCCCCTACGATCCCAAATTGGCGGACGCTTGGTCACTTGGTGTCATTCTATTCATAATGTTGAATGCGAAAATGCCATTCGACGATAGCAATCTTAGTAAGTTGCTGGACGATCAGCGTAATAAAAAGTTCGCGTTTCGACGGAAGCTACAAGATCAGATTACGGCGCAGGCTAAGGCCTCAGTGGCTGTGCTGCTGGAACCGGAGCCACATGCGCGTTGGAATCTACGCGAAATATTAAATTGCAGCTGGCTGCGTGCCGACGAAGAGGAACCGTTGGCTTAGTCTTAAATACTGTTCGAACGTCAGTAATCGTCATCTATCTTCGTTTTGGGCAGCGTATCTGATGATTGGTTTTGGACCTAAAGCTAATGTCTTTGAATTTTTGTATGGGAAAAAAAGAAATTTTTATATTTTGTTTTGATTTGCGCATGTAAAATGTTGGTCATTCGTATAGATAGCCAGAATTTTTGGACGTGAAATTGCTATATATACATACATACATACATGGATATGTATATCGCGTATTTTTTGGTTGAAAATTCTTAAACTTTCTCAGCTCATTTAACAGATTTGATTTTAGAAGAAATGCATTCGAATGTAATATTTTTTAAATTTTTATTTTGATAATAATTTATTTGAATTGGCCTCTTATATATTTTTGTGGTCGTGGACCAAGGCCAGTACCAAATTAAGGCCAATTTCTCGTATAACGGATGGTAAAAATTAATTAACATTCGCCTCCCTCCTATAAGGAGCTGTAAATCGATGATGTGGTTTAGAGCCTATTTCTAATACTTTTCTCAGTTATATGTGTCACAAAATATCTTAAGCTAGTAAAAAAAAATTAATTATAATAAATTGTTATTGTACATTTTAAAAAAGTGATGCTCCGTTTGTCTGTCGTCACGAAAACCAGTATTTGTGTTTTGAGATTTTTTGAAGGAATGGAAGGTTATATTTGTGCCCAGCCATCCAGAGGTGTAAAGTATTGTTGGGCGGAGTATGTATCTTTAAATTGCAAAATGTCTCTTCCGAAAGTATTTCAGATTAAAATGTGTGGTTTCGAATATTGAGAAGAAATTAAAAGGACTGTTGCTTTGTATTTTTACACTTTAGAATTCAGTGTACATTTGGATAAGAAGGGAAATTCGACTAAGAACAGAGCTGGGTAAATGCAATTACATTACAATTACAATTACATTCCTCAGTAATTGTAATTAAGAATCAATTCCTACAGTCCACAGCACAGGAATTTATTACTTTTTCAATTACTTAGAAGTGGTCTCAAATATATATTTCTTTCTTTTTAATTCAATTAAAAGGAATTGAAATTGTTATTGGAATTGGAATTAAGTGCTAGTAATGTAATTTTTTCCAATTCCTTTGAAATTTTCCGGCAATTTCATTACCCGGAATTGCAAGTGTATTTTAGTTTTTCCAATTACTCAGAGGGGTTGTAAAAGTACTTGCTGTGGACTGAAGGAATTGATTACTAGTTACAATGCCTTGTAATTTGTAATTGAGAGTAATTTATTATTTATATAACATCAAATTTATGATTAGTATTGAACTAAAATTGTTAAAATTTAATTGTATGCTTTAGTTATTTCTGAATCGTCCGCACAACATAAGTTTCAAATGATCCTCGGTAATAGTTGCCCTTTTTGTGCAAAACGATTTTTATTTTTTTTTTTTTAATTTTGACATTTCATTTGCGAGTGTTTAAAATTGCACGCTTTGC